GCAAAAAAAAAATACAAACAATATGTTGTACTTTTAAATTTCAATTTATGAGAACTTTAAATTTAATTTTAGGCTAATTTTTGCAGAACTCATCAAGATCTACAACTATTGTATTGGTCCTTTTTACAAATAAGTTCATTTGAAAAATTCAAATTTTGAGTTTTCAAAATTTTACAACTTCGAACAAAAATTGAAGTAAATAAATGATTTCAAATGGAAAAGTCACTAAAACCAAAGTTGTAGAACTCATCGAGATGCAAAATTTTTATTTTGGTCATTTCTCCATCTGACTCTATTTGAATAATTTGAAATTTGAAATTCAAAGTTTGAGAACTTCAAATAGAATTTTTTTAGTGAACGACTTCAACTAAAAAATCATCAACAACAAAATTGTATAATCCATCTAGATCTACAATTTTTATTTTGATTATTTGTTCATCCGATAAAGTGAATGTAATATTGTTCACAAATTGTACATATCTCCTATATGGTTTCATAAATTATGGGAGAGATGTATAAATTTGGTGAACAATGTTACTATGACTGTCAGATGAAGAAATGACCAAAATAAAAGATATAGATATTGATGATTTATACAGTTTTGTTGTTAATGACTTTTTCAGCTGAAATCATTTAGTATTTGAAAATGTTGTTTGAAGTTGTCATAATTTGAAATTCAAATTCAAATTCAAATTATTGTAACAAAGTCACATAGCAAAATGACCAAAACAAAAGTTGTAGATCTTGATAAGTTATATAACTTTGCTGTTGATAATTTTTTCATTTGAAATCATTTACTAACCGAAAAATTATTTGAATTTCAAATCATGACAACTTCAAACAACATTTTCAAATACTAAATGATTTCAACTAAAAAAGTCATCAAAAACAAAGTTGTATAACTCATCAATATCAAAGACTTTTTGTTTTGGTCATTTTCCTATATGACTTTGTTTCAATAATTTGAATTTGAATTTCAAATTATGACAACTTCAAACAATATTTTCAAATACTAAATGATTTCAACTGAGAAAGTCATCAACAAGAAACTTGTATAACTCATCAATATCCATAACTTTTATTTTGGTCATTTCCTCATCCGACAAAGTCATAGTAACATTGTCACAAAATTTACATATCTCTTATATGGTTTTATAAACTATAAGAGTGATGTGTAAATTTTGTGAACAATATTACTATCACTTTGTCGGATGAAGAAATGACCAAAATAAAAGTTATAGATATTGATGAGTTATACAACTTTGTTGTGATGCCTTTTTCAGTTGAATTCATTTAGTATTTGAAAATGTTGTTTGAAGTTGTCATAATTTGAAATTCAAATTCAAATTATTGAAACAAAGTCATATAGAAAAATGACCAAAACAAAAATTGTAGTTATTGATAAGTTATACAACTTTGTTGTTGTTAATTTACTACCCGAAGTATTAATATTTTAAAATTAATTGATAGGAGGGAGGCAAAATGGACTTCTTGGTGAGGGAGGAGCAAAAGGGTTGGGCCGGCGGCCCAAAGAGGGAGGACGGGAAGGGGAAGCCGGCCTAAGGAGCGAGAGAGAGGCCGGAAACACTAAAATGCCCAGAAGGCCCAGCGCCGCTGCGCCGCCGCGTGCACGCCTCTTCGCTTTTTTTCGTTTTTTTACCCTTTTTTTCCTTTTCTTTCCCACTTTTTTCTGTTTTTTTTCTTTAGCATGTTTTGAGTTTGAAAGTTTATAAATTTTGAGTTCAAAATTTTCAAATCTGAACTTGAAAGTTTTTAAATCTCGACTTGAAAGTTTTCAAATCTCGAGTTGAAAGTTCTCAAATCTTGATTTGAAAATTTTCAAATTTTTCAAATGTTGATTTGAAACTTTTGAATCTCGAGTTGAAAGTTTTCGAATCTCGATTTGAAAACTTTCAAATCTAAGTTGAAAGTTTTTAAAATTTGACTTTAAATTTTAAAACTTAAATCGAAAGTTTTCAAATCTAACTTAAAATATATTCAATCTATTAGTAAAAAAATCTCCCAAAAAGGTCTCCAGAATCTTTCCTAATTACTATCATTAGTGTTAAGTATATTAACTAATATAGGTAGTTATTAAGACTAAAGGGGGAGGAGGGAGTGCTCGCTGCTGGCGCGCACGCGCCAGTTAGCCGCCCCCGAGAGAGGCTGCGGGCTGAGGGAGGGAGAGAGTAATACTTGGGCCAAAAAAGGCCCAAGGACAGAGATAGGGATTTTAATTTCTTGTAGTGTCTCCGGAAGTTCATTGCATCATTTGCTATTCTTGGAGGTTGAGGACTCCTAGGCAGTTAGGTGTCACTCTCGAGCCACCGATCTTCGTGTGGTTGGCCGGGAAAAGTTCGTGAAGGTCGGATCTCACCTCCGAAAGGGAAGAGATACCACTAGTGGAAAGAGGAGTGCTTTGTGTAACCTCTTGAGGAAAGAGTTAGCAAAGACTCGGCTCTTTGTGAGCTCCTCAACAAAGAGTAGAATCCCCTCAATGATTCGAACATCGGGAATAACTTTGTGTGCTTCATCCTTGGTGATTTACTTCCTTCCTCTCCTCTAGCTTTGCTTAATTGTGCCGCTATATGTCTAGTTGCTATTTGTGCTAGCATATTCTTGTTCTATACAGCTAGATCTAGAATTTACATTGATTTGCGCTTACTCTGCTATTTTCGGAAATTCTGAAATTTACTACTTCCGCATTTATTACTTGAGTTTTTGTATTAGCCTATTCACCCCCCAGCCCTAATTGACCCTTTCAATGGTAATCAAGTTTAAAAAGTTATGCATCTAACAAAATTATAATAATCTCATTTAGAGTTGGAACCAATTTCTTATGAATTTTAGAAGTTCATCTTTTATTTTTAATTATAATCATTTACATCTATCTAAAGGTGGATATATTTTGTACATTATTTGATCCAAATCCGAGTTCACCAAAATAAAGTTCAAACTCATGTGAAGCTAACAAGTTTTAGTTTGATTCATTTTAGTTCTGTACAAATTTTATAAGTTAGATTATGCTGTATGTTAATTATTCTTTGTACAAAATTTTAGAGATATTTTCTTGTACTTTAAGTGTATCTTTTGAATCTACAAAATAAAAGAGCATAAATTTTATGAGTTTACTGGAACTTTGTTCATCTAAAATGGAGCTAGGATGAACATTTTATGCATTTCTAAAGTTTGTATAATTTTCAGTTCAGCAAACAATGCTTTAGATATTTTCTTGGTATTTATCCAGAATTTAAACAAAGGGGTCCACTGGTCAGTGACTTGAGAATATGCAGAAAGGCTCTTGAGATTTCTAGGAATCAACCCGCAGTCCTGTGACTGTTCTCTATTTGAGCGAACTTTTATAAACTAGTGCCTAGAGTTTTGTTTCTTCTCAGAAGAGGTCCCTGCGACCTGGACAGGGGTGGCATCGACGGCCGGCGGCCATATTTGGGTTTGCCGGTGGCGAACGGTGGCCGATCTCGCCGTGTGTCCAAAATATAAAATGTATCTAAGGTTATTACGCACCCGTTGGTAGTTGAATCACGGCTGATATTGTATCACGAAGTCTGCGAGAAAAGATCGACCAAACGATGATCACGAACAGCGCACACGTACACCATGCAAAATCACCGCGCGCGTGTGCAGTGGCGGATAGCTGAACGTAGTCAGCATGTACAGGCAGTGCTCACGTGCGAAACCAAGATTTTAGTACCATATGGGAAAATTACGTTGGTTGAGCCCATCCTGGAAAGCCACGACATTGTTTCATCTGAAGAAATCCATCAAGGAGAGCAGAGGAGATCACGCAGCAACATATGTGGTTTCACGTGGGATACTCCGGACCGCTCTAACAAATAACCATGCACGTATCTGCCACCATGGGACAGGTTTACTATTCCGGTATGCATAAATCTAGGGGACCAAAATTTCAGGAATTTTGGATATTTTGGAACCGAGAGAAAGAAAATTGAATTTATTAATTTGTTCTAAATTCACAAAAAATATATTAAAAATTGGGTGAAATAGTTTCTCAACGGTGGGGTCTGATATTTTGGAAATTTTGAACCGAAATTGCGAACCATCCATGTGGCATTTTTTTTTTGAAACAACCCACACAAGATATAAGATAGTACGACGTTTCTTTTGATAGAGCAGAAAAGCGTTACAAATCTATAGCACTGGAAGGCTATAGTTAGGAAAAAAACAACCGCACCATGCGTCTATTGCCAGATACCGCTACTGAAAGGCAAACGAACACGACACACGTAAGGAAAGGACCTTCTCGACGATGCCTACGAGAAGGAAACGACACACGATATTGCCGCCACTGCCCTTCCTAGAAAGATTGATTAGTATACTATATTTGAGGTGGAGAAGATGAAGAGAAATGAAATTACACAAATGCAATTTCAATAACAAATCTGTACACTTGAATTTGCAAATTGCAATGTTCTGAAGTTGTCAACAATATTTACCTCTCTGCTGATGGAGTGGACTGATGACTGACTTGCCTGCTTCCTGCTTGGCTTGCATGCTTTGCTGCTGCTTTCTCTGGCGAAGTGGCCCTGCCCTGCCTGCGCTGCGCGCCTGTGCCCCTGCCAGCTAGCCGGCTGGCCAGTGGCCACTGCCTGCTAGCTGCCGCGCCCCCCAGCTGATGGACGGTGCGGATGCCGCAGTTCTGTACCCGGGAGCCTGGCGGCCACGCTCCTGCACCCCTTCTCGCCTCCGCGGCTCTGCCCACGATACCGTGCCAACGCGGACCGCCTCTAGGCTCCTCCTGCGCGCCGCCCGCCGATGGGGATTGGGGAATCAATGCAGATGGAGGAGATGGGGAAATTTTGCTCCAGGGTTCAATCGTCAAAAGCCACATTTACACAAAACAAGCCTATAGTGAGCACCACATCTCACCATACCGAGCCCTCCGCAATTGATCACACACTGAAAAAGTTTTCGATATATGCTTTCTGAAATTTTAGCCAAAAACATCTGAGAGATCGCTCTAGTGAAAATGAGCCACTTGCCAACTTCGTTCAGTTATATGTTTATTGTTTAGATATAGGTATCCCATGAAAACTGAAATCACTGGCTCCAAGAAAAACTTAAAATTTGTGCATTAGTTTGTATATATCTTGGTTCAATACGCATTGCAAGATCATCTGCAGTAGTTCAATTCTTCATTCGCATTCCGACTTGACTAGCTCTAGAGATCATGATTGGGTAAGAGGCTCTATCTCTTTCTGTGTGCTAAACTCAGGGTTGGTAGAGCCTGAGTAGCTGCTAGTGGCATAGCTTCTATTTACATCCCTAAGCTGCCACTCGGTGATGTAACTTGGCTTCACGACCACCTCAGACAGCTCAACTTCTCCGGTCAACATTGCCAAGGCCTTCGACATTGGTGGTCGTTGGTGCGGTGAGCCCTGTGTGCAGAGGAGCGCAACACGGATGACCCTAAAAGCTTCATTGTTGTTGAAATCCTTGAGAGAAGGGTCAACGATTCCAAGAACTTGCTCCTTTTCATACAGGTCCCAGAGCTGTCAACCAACATAGGTTTATAAATAGAAGATAAAACAATGAATGGACTTATCTGTTCTTCGATGGGAACATCATTGATCAACTTACCCATTCGAAGAGATAGATCTTGCTTTCCTCCAAGGAATTATTGGTGTTGGATCGACCGGCGACAATTTCCAGCACAACCACCCCAAATGCAAAAACATCAACTTTTTCCGTCAATCGGCCTCTCATTGCATATTCAGGAGCAAGATATCCACTTGACAAAGGCCACACAAGTTAAAAGTAGCTTTTATTTTGATGTTACAATCATAAGAAGAGAAATGTTGAAATGTTCTTACAGTGTGCCCGCAATTCTTGTGCTTACATGAGTCTGCTTCTCATCATAGAGCTTGGCGAGTCCAAAGTCAGATATCTTTGGAGTGAGATCGGTTTCAAGTAGGATATTGCTGGCTTTGATATCTCTATGCACGATGCGTACACTGGACTCCTCATGAAGGTAAGTTAGGCCACTTGCAATGCCTAAAATGATATTAAAACGTGTTCCCCAGTCTAGGTTTAATCTACTATGTCCTGTAGAAGTAGAAATAACTCAGTAAGGCCACGACAATACAAAATGATGGCAAAATAGAAAGAAATAAGGTGGTTTTATCAACAAAGTCGAGTGATTGCAATTTCAGTGGAGCTGTCACTTTGTAAAAGGGAACTCACCAAAGAGTGCTGTGTCTAAGCTTCCATTTTGAAGGTACTCATAAACCAACAAGGGTGTATTACTGTCGATGCAGAAGCCATGCAATTTCACAAGATTCCTATGCTGCATAGCAGATATTGTCGTAACCTCAGCCACAAACTGGCTTTTCCCTTGATGAGATGATTGAGAAAGTTGTTTAACAGCTATAACTCTTCCATCAGATAGCTTACCCTGCCAAAAAGAAGCTTACTAAAGTTGCTTTTAAATACAAAATCAGATAAATAGACCCTTATGAAATACAGCTAAACATTCATTCACAATTTCAAATAGCTAATAGAAGGAAATTGATAACCTTATACAGCATCCCATATCCGCCTTCCCCAAGAATATTTTGAGAACTGAAATTGTCTGTAGCTAGCCTTAGTTCAGTGTTACTGAAGACATCAGGCCGTCCAATTAGGTTGTACAGTTCTGCATTTTTCCAGACAGATGAGAGAATAAATCATTTGGAAATTTCATGTCTAAATTACTGTTACTAATAAACATACCTTCTTTCTGTTGTGCCATTGTTCTTCTCTTCTTAACCATCATAAAAATTCCAAATAAGGCTGCCAATCCTAAAATTGATGCACCAATCAATATTCCTGCAATTGTGTGTACTTTACTTCTTCTTTTTGGTACTCCATTTCGCACAGTAGGAGTAAAATCTGAAAAAAAAATGGTCCAACTTAGTGGAAGCCAACATAGTCCTTTTCAATGTTAAGTTAATAATTATACTTACTTGGAGAGACGCTCAATGCTGAGATCATAGGCCCGTAGTAACCATTAGTAGGTATGCAACAAGTGCCCTTGCCAGCCCAGAAGAGATGAATTTCAAGGAAGTTGTTTGACACGGTAGCTGTGTAACTCCTGTGAACCACTATAAAAGATTTTCCACCAGCCATCTTCCTTATGTCAAAATCCTTTTCTCTTAAAGAGCCCTATGCAAATATCAACAATATCTTTAGATAATGAAAAAAAATTAGTAAACAAATTGCTACAGGACACACTCTCTATTTGTACCTGGATATATATGTCGAAAACTCTCCTTCCTAAGCTTTGCCAAGTCTGTGAGTCCGGATAAGCAACCTCTGCAAATTGAAGAAGAATGGTGTAATTTCCATTCTCAAGTCCAAGGCCATAGTATCTCAGCGATGATGGTGACATCCTTGCAGTTTCGAACAATCTTGAATTAACTGCATTCTGAAAATGCTCGGAGCTAGATATTATATTCATTCCATTTGAGGCCAGGGAAAATTTTCCTACATTGCTGACACCCCATCTTGTTTGACTAGTAACATAATATGATGCATCCCCAAGGTTTGTAGGCTCTGCTTCATAAATAGTATTATCTGATCCTCGTGTAGAACTATTACTTCCGCAGTCAACCGCAAAGGAATAATCTGTTAAGATGTGAAAAACATAGCCATTATTTTTGAAGTTCCTAAAATCATGTTGACTACTACAATCTTTGAAGAATAAAAAGATAAATACATTCTGGAGATCCACGAAAACAAGGAGTGTCTTGCTGAAGGCAGTTTAATCCAGAAGGAAGAGTTCTGTGCATCATTTGAATCGGAAACTTCAAGTTACTGACAAATATTTTGTTACAATTAGTCTGTTGAAAAATCATGAATGAATGTCATAAGTACCTGCGGTTATTGCTACCAGCATCAAATTTGTTTGCTACCAAATTCCTTGTACAATATAAAATGTTAGAATATCCACAAATTTCTCAGTGCAACACGAATCTCATAATTTTACACTTACAATTGCAAATTGTTCTGGGTAGCCCAGGAAGGAAAGTTTCCAGTGAGCTGATTGTAGGAGAAATCTCTACAAACAATATATATCTATTACATCCAAAATGAACACATCGTTGTACTACGAAAATAATTATGTCATACTGCTATCTTGTTTTTTTACATAAATTGTTTTTAACGAGGAGCTTATCACATCTGGCAACTTTCCTGTAAGGCTATTATTACCAAGAAACCTGAATTGGAAGCGAGACAAAATAATGAAACAAGGACATCATCTTAAGAGGTGTTTGTATAAATTGAATTAATGTCGAAAAACAATTTCTTACAGGAATTCAAGCTTTCCCATATTGAGGATGGATTGAGGAACTTCGCCTGTAATATTGTTAAAACTCAAGTCCCTATACCACATGATATCAGTATTAAATGAACAGATGCTTCACAATTTTCAGGAAATAATCAATAGCATCATAAACTGGATTGGTGGTCCATAATGAAAACTTACAACAAGATTAATGCTGTGAACATGGAAAAATCTACTGGTCCAAGATTACCTGATACCTTGCAGTTCCTTAGTATTCTGTAATAACAGGATTTAATCACGGGAACTCGCAATTTTGTCATTATTATAATATCTACAGGTAAAAGCATCACATACAGGGTGCTCAAAGATGTCAGATTACTGATAAAGACCAAAGAAGAGGTCCCATCTACGATATCACCAATCCTTCTGCTCATTTGTAGCAAAAATCAGCAATCAAGCATGACGTTATCAACCATGAAAAAGGATCAACACCGCGAAAACAGATGTACTCACAAGGTTGTCAATTTTGTTAGATTCGACAAACTTGCTGGGATTGGTCCTTCAAAAGAATTTCCTTGGAAAGCCCTACAAGTTCATAATTTCATAAAATGGTAAAAGAAAGTAATCCATGTGTATCAACATTTTTTATGAAAATCTCCGCATCGACATGCCATGCAAACTAGTATAATGGCATGGAGAAGTGTATATTTATTCAAAGGGCTCCAATGTGAAAAATGATATTATCTGAGTTCAAATGGAAACAGAAGATTTATGTTTCATGATTTCCATCTCTCCGAATAAGGTACATCATATGAAGTATAAAGAATTTAATATTAAATAATCTTACAGATCTATCAAATTAGTCAAACTCCCCAAATAATCAGGTATTTTCCCTGTGAATTCATTATCTGATGCCCTCCTGAAAGCACACCAAAATATTTGGCCTTTAGAATATAGGAAGAGGACGGACATAATAGATGGATCTCTCTGTTATTGAACGTACAAGGTATTTAGATTCTTAAGCTTTGAGAATGTTGGCGGGAATGGACCGCTGAATCCAGAACTATCAATGTACCTGTTGTAGAAATTTTGTAGTAATTATTGTGTTCAGTAATAGACCTCTCGATTCTAAATTTTAGTTTGTTTAGAAGTAAGAATCGGAAGTTAGTGATGGGTGTTTTAGTACAACTGCTGAAGTTTGGTCAGGTTGCCCAACTCTTCAGGAAGTTCACCAGTAAAATTGTCCAAGCTGATGCCCCTGAATCAAGATGAAATATTTTAGGTGCAATCTAAACAGGAATTGTTTTTCCAGCTGAGCCATCTGACCCACAATATTCATCATTATTAGTTTTCAAGTCCCTGTCAGCTCAATTTTACTCAAACATATGAAACACCACGTGAAACAGGGAAGTTCCTAACATGGATAATGTATATAACAGTTAGAGTTCTTGATAACTTTGTTGTTAAGGATTTATGTGATTAACATTTGTTGTATAATTAAATTAGCTCAAGCAGTCCCCGTTATATAGCTAAAAATTGATCCACCATCTATGAAAATATTTCTTACAATGAAAGAAGATTGGTGAGGTTCCCAAGCTCCTTTGGAAGTAGTCCAGATAGTGGATTCAAAGCCAAACCCCTTTAAATAATAAAAAGTAGTTAAGACAAAATGCCAAGCAATCGATGGTACAGGGGAATCTAGAACTTGATGTATAAATAACTCCTACAAATATTTCATGGAAGGAAATTTTCCAATGAATGACGGAATGGCGCCAGTCAAGTAATTAAAATTTAGGTTCCTGAAACAACACCAGAATATCAAGTCCATTAGCCAACATATATAAAAAAAACTTGCATGCCTCACAACGAGCTATATTTGGTTTTCACCAGGAAACTGAGAGTTGAGAATTCAAAAGAAGGGGCTGAATTTGTCATCTGGTTTAAAAAATGAACAATGCCTTTGACTTTTGACACACGTTTGATCATGTCGTATTAAAAAGTTTTATGCAAATATGTAAGTCAGCTTAATAGACCTTTAATGATAAACCATGTTGCAACAAAATAAATTATAATTATGTAATTTTTTTAATAAGATGATTGATCAAACATGTATTAAAAAGTAAATGTTGGCATCTGTTAAAAACCAGAGATAGCATTTTTTTTTGGCACAACATAGATGGGCGGTTTAACATTTCATTGTCAAGAAATAAGATGATAAGTCTTAGATACTGTACAGGTCCTCTAGGTAGGTGAGATTCTGCAGCTCCGCTGGTATTTGACCAACCACGTCCAACTTATATACCTTCCTGCCCAAACAAACCAGTAATATTCTTTTTATTTTAAGAACTACAAGTAATATTCATATGTGATTATTGTAGACTTTTATATGCCATTCAGGCCAAATCATTGAATTAACAGTAAAATCCCCCATTTCTGCTGTCGCGACCGGGAAAATCGCCTTTTCCCGAACGCTAGTGTATTAATCCCCGTCCCAGGAAAAGCCGGGGTACACCACACAAACATGATATAAAAGACACATCTTTATTATATCGATAATATTTACATTATTACAAAGGCACTTCAGGCCTGACAAACAAAAATAAACAGCAGCGGACTAGCGGCCTACGGCTCCATCTTCACAGGCGCTCAACTGGGGTATAAGCCAGGACTCCACCTAAGACATCTTCTCCAAAGCTTCTCTTACTGAAGGGGGGAAAGATTGAGCAAGAATGAGTACAACCACAGTACTCAGCAAGCCACACCGGCGGATGCATGATTAATGCAAGGGGGTACAAGGGGATAATAATATAGGGGTTAAGTTTTGCAGTAAACAGCATTTAAAAGTCACTTAGTTGCCCAAAGCTATTTTGTAAACACGATCCTAGAGCTATACAATATTATTAATCAAGGCCGTGAACCCTCACGAACCTGCCTTAACCCAAGGCCTACGATGATTCAGACCGAACTGGCAACCCGACCCTGGGTCCCAGCTCGTCCCAAGCCAACCCAGGCCAACCATTCCACATTTTAGTTGTTGAGCAAATTTTAAGAATTAAAACACTGACTTGGGTACATTGCTCGGCTTGCCCATAACCGAGGGCGCGGCTATTCGAATAGATTATACTCTGATCAGAGGTGTACATCTTTACCCACAAGACACATCTTCCTCACGTGTAACCACGTGCCACATACCACCACGGTATACAGACGGAAGACGTGACATAGTTTCCAACCCATCCTAGCCATAGACAAGAGTACCGACCCAATCCCACCTACGGCCGGGACCCCCGGGACAGGCAGGCAGGACTGAGCCCCTAGCAGCAGGGCACCAACCCTCTGCCATGACATCTCGACTACCGGGCCGCAGCTCGTGTAGCCTTCATTTGCCCTGGAGAATGTCCATCGACCCCCGACTTCATCCATCTCCAATCCGTGTACTTTTGTTTATAACCAGACTGAGCCACAAACTAAGCCTTACCCACTAGACATGTGGAAGTACGGTAGTGCTTTGCAACAGAGGCCCGAGCTTAATCCTTATAGTGGCCGGGGTGCTACTTCCCACAACTGGCATGCACCCAAACCCCACCGAAAACAGGTTTTAGGGGTTTTGAAAGAGGAAGAGAGGTGTATGTCCAATTCCACCATAAACCAACAATTCCATAGTGTCCAAATGATATGAGAATTCCCAAAGTCTAGAGTTGTAAAACCACCTAATGTTACCTAATTAAATTGCGAAGCATCTACCTAAAATTAAACTAGTGGTGCCATGAGTAGAGTGTCCACTAGTTGGGGTTTTGTTTACTCTAGGGTGAACAAGGAAATAATAACAATAACAATAATAATAAGGTCATAACAAAGGTAAATAGGTATGGCTAGATAAAACAGTGATAACGCGGGAATTTAAATAAAGCGATAATGCAATAATTTAAATCAACATAATTTTACAAACTGGGATTCAATATGTTCAAGGATGATGTGACTTGCCTTGCTCGCTTTCCCAAACACCGGCTTCAACTTCCACGAAGAGCGGATCTTCCGAAGCTGCAGCGTCTACACGACCGACGGAAAAGAAAAGGCTTTTACTCTACTAAACTCCACATAACAGCAGAAACAAAGCACAAAAATGGGTTCTTGACTTCTTAAGGAAAAATTAGAGACTTGAACGGTCCAATTCCGAGTTCAAATGGCCAAGATATGGCCATTTGAAGTTTATATGCTCTTTAAATGGATATTTGCGAATTTCTTCATTTAAATTTTAATTAAAAACCCATTTATTGCGTCAGCCGGGAGAGAGGGCGCGCGGACCGGGTCCACGGGAGTGGGGCCCACGCGTCAGCCTCTCGGTCCACGGTGGACCGGGAGCACGCGGCTGGCGGCGGCCGGCGCCGTGGGTCCCACGCGTCAGCCGCACCCGCGGGCGCGGGCGGCTGACGGCCGGGCCCACTTGGCAGCCGCGAGGGCGCGCCCGAAGGCGGCCTCGCCGGCACGGCCGACGGGAGGCGGCACGACCGCGCCCCGATGGTCACCGCCGGCGACCACCGGCGCGGCGGAGCGGCGCCCGAGAGAGCGGAGAGGAGAGGGAAGCGAAAGGGCGGTCTTCGGCTCACCCCGAGTCGACGGCGACGACGGGAACGGCGGCCGAAGCGGAGGAAGGCGGCGGCGCGGTTCGGGACGGCGAGGGCGACGGTGCTCCGGCGGTCGGCGAGCGAAGCGGAGGGGTGGCCGAGGTCGACGGGGACGCGGCGAAGCCGATGGAGGTGACGCCGAGTGGGGAGGAGGTCCGGAGCGACGACGGCGGCGAACCGGAGCTCGGCGGCGACGGCGGAGAGAAGGTGCGACGGTGCGGGCTCGATTCCGACGGGGAGGAGAGGCGGCGAGTGGCGGAAACGGAGGAGGAGAGCACGGGGAACTCTTATATAGCGTCTGGAGGGGGAGAGCGCGGCCGGAGAGGGAGGAAACGGGCGCGGAGATCTCGGCCGCCCTTGAAGACGCCGGCGAAACTTGCGGGATTAACTCCGAACGAAACCGAGGGAGAGAGAGAGGGAAAAAGCGGGGGAATCGGGAGAGGGAATCGCGGGGAATGATTCCCCCCTCATTATGGCGTGCGGGGACGGCGGGATGCGGCGGATTCGGCGGTGGCGGCGGCGCTAGGGCACGGGCGAGCGGCGGGAGCGGCAGGAGGAAGGCGATGACAGGTGGGCCCCACCCGTCAGCGAGGGCGGCGGGCGGGCCCGCCTGTCAGCGGCGCGTGCGCGGGGGAGACCGATGGGCCGCGGGGGGGGGGAGAGGAGAGAGAGGGAGGGAGAGTTGGGCCGAGCCGGCCCAAGAGAGGAAGGGGGGGGAAAAGAAGACTTTTAGGGATTTTTCTTTTTATAAAACCTTTTCAACTTTGTTTATTTCTTAATAATTATTATTTGTGCTCTGAAAATTCCACTAAAATTTGAGGGCTCCTTTTAGACCAAGGAGAATTTAACAAAAATTCTCCGGGCCACATTTGAATTTTTCTTGTACGTATTTTAGGGTTTGCCAATTTCTTTTCGAATTTTAATTAATTCTATTATTCCTTTTAGAAGATGATTTTTATTTCGGGATGAATTTATCAGGACGTGACATCTGCTCTCAACTTCTATAGGGACAGTTAAATTTTCACCCCTAACTTATAAACCGTTTGATTTTCCTGCAAGGGCATGCAAAACCATGCCACTTGACCTGGAGGACTGAATACACCATCGGTTTTTGTAAAGGACATACCAACATTTCCTCTATGGCCAACTAAAAACATTTGAGAGAAGTAATGGTTAGTCGATGTGAATCCCAAGTTACTGATTGGAAGAAACACCAAATGCCTCTGCCTTCCAGCCTGAAGCCCTGAAAATATAAGGGGTTTTCTATTAAGGATCTTCAGGTGCAAAAAATAGTTGCCTCCTATTAGGAACCCGTTGGGCTGTAGGGCCTACTCAATTGCTAATCCATGCCGAGGCTCAAACAAGCAATGTAGAGGAATAGAAAAGGCCGAAACAGGAGGACTTCAACGATGGAACAGAGCAGAAAACGGTGACTTGGCCATGGTGGCTCGGCGATGGCAGTGTCCTGGTTCCGGGCTGGAACCTCGGCGATCTTTCCACTACCTCTCCTCCTAGCTCCACTTGCTCTTCCTAGCTTCTAGACCTTTTAGAGCTTGTATCCTCTATCCCTTTTCTTCCTCAGTTTCACCTCAAACAGCTGGTTGTACTTGTCGAGCTTGTATTAGATATGCTGTTATTTGTTGAGAGAAGAGGTGTCTAACAGTTCCATATTTGGGAAGAGTTTCAGAATTTTGGGATTGTCAGTTTGTCACTCGGTCCCTGCTAGGATGTTCTTCAGGACAAAATTTTCATTCCTTTCTAATTTAGCATAAGTTTATTCAAATTTAGCCAAATATTTTGTAATTTTGGTGTTTAATTTGTAATTGATTTGTACAGGTTCTAATTAACTTCAATAGCAAAATGTCAGACACAAAATTGCTACTGTGCATACAGTTTGGTAATGTGGCAAACGGTGTTGTTGTAGTAAGTGCAAGCGCACTTGATGAGGGGGTTGATGTTGGGGAAGTTATCCCAGTTGCTCGGATCCGAGGCCACACCGCTGCAGGGCTCGCCACTGATGTTCCACTCCGACGATGCCTTCTTGCTCCATCTTCCCAAAATCGTGTTCAGGGCTGCCACTGCACGGTTAACTCAACAAAGTCAACATTAATTAATACTATGTGTAAGCAGAATTAGGCGATGAATCAACACAAATTCCTCTAAATTAATCATGTAGTGTCCACGGACAAATTAAGCCAAGAAAACCCAAGAACATGGTTACGTTCTTTTTTTTTGCGGGGAACATGGTTACGTTCTTACCTTCGGTTGGATCAGTTTTTGCTGCTTGTTGAGGCTGAGCAGCTGCAATCTGCCATGAGCACACAAGCACCAGCCACACGAGAAGCCCAGAGGCTCTGTTGCTGCTGCAGCAACGCCACATCTCTCTCTCTCACACTATTGCTGCCAAAACAAGCATTGCGCTGCTTGTTAAATAGATGTCCATGTACAGAACGTGCAACCAAACATTATAAATTATAGCCACATGTGTATACGAAATAAAATTTTATTTTACGACAAAAAAAATTAAGAGAATTGTCAGTTGATGAATACTCCTGGATTTTTAATAAATGGCGCCGTCGACTTTTCGACGTATGTTTAACTATTTGACTTATTCAAAATTTTATATAAATATATAAAAATATAAGTCATACAAAACATATATTTTGAAAATTAACCAAGCTATAATGAAATAACGATAATTATATAATTTTTTAATTAATCCAATGGTCAAACATATGTTCAGAAGATAATACTCCCTCCGTTTCATATTTTACGCTTTGACTTTTGCAAAATCAATTTTCTAAAAAGTTTGACCAAATTTATAAAAAAACATAGCAACATTTATAGCACTAAATTAGTTTCATTAAATTTAACATTGAATATATTTTGATAGTTTTTTATGTTGAAAATATTGCTATATTGTTATATAAATTTGATCAAAATTAAAGAAGTTTGACTTAGAGAAAAAGACAAAATGACTTACAATGTGTAATGGAGGTAGTAGCATTATTTATTGATAGTTGGGAAATGTAGTAGTTACACTCTAAGACAAACAGCAGAGAACAAGTCAAGATCCCAAACAAAAGAGAAGTACGGCACCATCGTTGGACTTCTTTAATATTGGGATAGGTCACCATGGGCATTTGTCAACCTTATTATTCTTATCCACATTTCTCCCGCACTCCCGGATGAGGATGTCATATATTTGGACACACATACAAATCCTACATAGCGACAGATAAATAATACGGGTATGTACACGATGACATAACTATCATGTGAGGTCATTTGTAGATTTGGATGTGTTGCTTTGGGAAATAGAGCACTATTTAATGCGCTTCTCATAGATATGTTTATAATTAGGAACCTTGTAATATATAAACAAACAGTTATATCTTTTAACTTTCACAAGTTAAGCTTGTATCCAAATTCTCCCATACATAGTACAAGTGTGGTTCGTCCTCCTCGATAGCACAAAATTGCTTAAAATTTTTTAAATGGATTTTGTTTTGGAGATAGTTGAAGCTCAAAGCATAATTCACACTCTATTCCAATATGGATATGGCCTCAACTCCATATTGCTTTTATCAAAACCAGAACAGAATTGCTTCACCGGGCCAGCCTTGGTTTTATTACTTTGTTTGAGATATTGATCACCTGCTTCTTTGGCCTATACGTACCTAGGATGACCTTATCCCACTAGTAGCTAGTTAGCCACATCCTATTCGGAAAGCTTAAGATTCTAAAAAGCAGTTGGTTGATAGCTAGCTTCTAAAATTCTGGAGAAGTTAGAAACCTAATTTTTGATTTATAGTTCATTTTTTAGATTATGTGTAACTAGAACATCTTTGAATATATTAATCTCAACGAGAAGTTTGAATATTTGGGGAGCTTTTCATTTTGAGAGAAGCTGCAGCTACTAGAAACTTCTCAAACGGGCCACCTTGTGGACGCCACTCTTTACTTTCTTAGGATTTTGACTTTGTGTTTAGCATGTTTCTTCCAAACAATTTTTTTCTTCAAAATTAATTGATCAAGACCATTACCTCAAAAGTTAAAGGCCCCATAGCTCTACTTGCTACTTTGCTTTATTTGATTAGAACAATTATTACCCTGCTGGTATCACTTTGTACATAATTTACTATGCAATTTCATATTGCAACTCCTTGTGGTAAGTTCAATTGTGTGAAATGGTTGATTACGACAAGAAGATGAGTACATATAGTGAATGTTTTGGTGTCACAAACCCATTTAGGCCCTGTTTCTTTCAGCTTGGGATTATTATAATCTAGATTATTGAGTCAGATTACTATAAGCTAGATTATTATAATCTGTAGTAGAATAAGCCGTTAGTTGTTTCTTTCCTAGATTATTAGAATCTAGATTATTAGGTTTGCAAGTCTAAAGAGGGAGTGGGGTGGCATGATGGGTAATTTTTCACCCAATAATCTGAAAAAAGCTCACCTAAATGAGCTTATCAGATTATGAGCTTATCAGATTATAATAAGCTGGGCTCCAGATTATAATAATCTACTCCAATAAGTTGTCTGTTTCTTTCAGCTTACTCCCAATAATCTGGATTATAATAATCCCAAGCTGAAAGAAACAAGTCCTTAGTTAGAAAGCTACATTGTAAACGTTATGCTTCCCCAAATTGTTATGTATCTAAGTTGTCAAATTAGCAGAAAACAGTTTAGTAACTTTTTTTTAGATTAGTGATGTTTGCATACCTAAATTGAGTTCATAAATAGCTTTAAAAAGTCCATGCTTGCCAAAACTTTCTCTTTAATTTAGCCATCACATGATTCTTTTTCAGTACCAGTTCCTAGATCCTAGAGAGATATAAGAGATGAGCTGTAGGTGGTTTGGAATTACCTACCTCCAATAGGAATGTGAGAGATGGCTACTCTGCTAGCTACCATGATCATCTCTCTCCAAATTAAATGCCTGGCGAGACCCACTAATACAGAACCACCTATCTTAAGTTCCTAATCCTATCTATCACTGTCTGTTTTTATTATGAACCGATAAGGATGCCGACTGAATAGACATAAGAGCCTCTCTCGTCTAAGGCCCGAAGCGAACCACTCGATCTCACTGCTCTATTACTTGTGCTCTCTGTTCCCTTCAACCTTTCTGCCCACCACCAACACTACCCGCTCCATCTCCCTCAGTTTGATCCCACACAATACCGCCAGTAAGATATATATACTAATATACATATATTTTTTTTCAACAATTCGTGTCACGAGGAAACAAACCTTGAGAGACAACGCTGGTATGCAAGCCATATCAGTGTATGTACTGCATATTTTGGCTATCTAGAAATTTTGAGCAGAAAAAATATAGAGGATGACGCAGGCATATATAGCTTGTCGAAAACGAACAGGGATGTTTTGTTTTAACTAATTAAACCAATGTCTTTCTGATCCCATGCATCATCCTATCCTTTTCATTCCTGTACTACTTACCTGTTGGCAGAGACCGATCGAGTACTTAAAGTGTTAAATTAATCCAATATGTCCAGTTCCAGCCCATGCTCGTCAAGGGACGAATAAATTGAGTCAAGTACGTAGCATATATATGACTTAGTCATCCACCTTCAATTCTGTTGTTGTCTATCGTTTTCCTTTGTTATTTTGCCGTGCGAACAACACCATCTCCCACTCTCTCGCAGTTAGCAGAATTATTGTCTTTCTATACCTCTTATAATCCACTTGGATGAGTTAACCACTCATTGTAAACAGAAAATGCCTCCAGTTATATTGAATAGTTAAAAATTTTTTTCCTCTGCGTCCTTGGCTTTTCCGGGAAGAAGTTTCCATATAAATCAGTGTCTCATAGATCATGATCATACTTGTTGTGCCTGCTATTTTCTAACAAGTGGTATCAGATACTAGCTTCTTCGACATGGTGTCCTTCAAATATGATCTTCCATTGTTGGATCGAAACACACGATTTTCTCTTTGGCAAGTTGTTGATGCAAAACACGATGGCCTGAAAATTTTGATTAATTTCAGTGCAGGTCCAAAGCTTCGGGTACAGAGAGTGCCAATTGGTTTGATCCTGTAACCAACAAGATAGACAATAGCAGAAGTTAGTACACAATAGTCGATCGGTCGATAGGTCGATGTTGTATCTTATCAGTCGATGTACAAATGAATCGGCTACAAATATGAAAGCTATTGCTCAAAAAGGCAAAATTTGCTACAGGACACGCAAAAACGTGTAATTAGCTGGAAACACCACGAAAGCGTGATATGGCTGATGGACACTACAAAAATTATGTAAATGGCTGTAGGACATTGGTCGGATTATTTTATTATTTCCGGGTCAAAAGAGGTGATATATTTTCCTAAATGCATGCCCAGATTAACTGGGAAGGCGCGCTGTGGGGCAGGTCGGCAAGGTCAGTGCGAGCGGGCGGCTGTGCGTGCTCCGACTTGCAAATTAGAGACCAGATCGAGCCCCTGGCTGGCTGCAGCTGCTTGCTCAAGCTCTCAAGTCTGAAGGAGCTAGCTAGCCATCTTCTTGCTGGTGGAGCGAGCTCGTCGGCGTGTGCTTGGCTGCTGCTAGCTGCTAGCTGGCCAGTCTTCCTCTTGTCCGGCGAGATGGTGGTGGGCACCGTGAGCTGCTGTCAGAGAGGGAGTTGGCGGCGACGCGCCGCTGCCCTCGCCCTCACTGTCGTCGTCTTCGCCGCGGACACTCAGCGTCTTCGCCGCGAAAACCGACTACCGGCATGGACATTCAACGCCTCCACCCTGCTCCTCAGCGTGAGCTCCTCAGCGGACACTCAGCGCGAGCTCGACGGCCAGAGTTATTACTAATCATTTCTACTAGTGTTGGTGAAATAAGTGTATGCAGGTAATTTGAGGAGAAAACACATCCGTCATGCGACAAAATACACCTCTGCACATTCAGGACACGTTTACACGGATTCGAAGCCCCATATGTCAATGAAAACCATTTAGAATTGGGCCAAAACATAGTGTAGGTTATTGGGGGACCATTAAGCAACCTACCGGCCAAAGGAAAGGCCGGGAGGTGTGTTTTTGGGTTCGGCCGAACCGTTCCTGGCGCTTCCCGCCATCTATTTCCACGTGGACGGCTTGGATTCCTCCCCTATGGCGGTTGCAGGGTGTTTTGGTCATTTCCCATACCCCTAACCGTCATTTGGAGCCTATATAAGGAGGCTCTGTTGTATCTTTTCTACACTAGAATAAGGTATGGAGTGAGGGGAAGCTCTGGAGGAGTGCCCGGAAGTTTGGCGCTCATCCGACTTCTATCTCAACGAGTGTAGCTTCCTAGAAGGAATTCTGGAGGAGTACCGGAGCTGTCGGTACACTCTGCTCCGGGTTAGGAGAAACTTCTTCAATAAAGTAACCATTTGTGTTCCTTTTTATGTTATTTAATTACTTTGTCTAAGTA